GACCACGTCACACACTCTGCAGTGCACAGTGTCATGAAACATGGGGATGTCCCCACACCCATCCCTTGGCCTTCAGAATCCTTTAGCACTGCTGTGTCAAGGAGTAGCTGTGCCCCTCCTGCCAGGCAGACCCCGACGTCCCTCCTCCACCTTCACCCTTCACCTGCTGAGATCCAGAGGGCTGTGCTACTTCAGGCTGTCTTGCCGAGCTGTGCTCTCTTCAATGGGCAGTGTGCTTGCAGATGCTTGAGACCATGAGGACCGGGCTCCCACAGATGTGGGCTCAGGCAGTCCTGGCTGAGCTGGAAGATGGCCGAGCTAATCAAGTTGGAGCCGTGGGAGATTGTGGGCTCCAGAGAGCCTTTCCATGGTTTCAGAAGACCGAGGGGCAGGAGAGAGAGCCCAGGGCTAAGCTTTGGTCTCTGCTGGGGAGGGGCCAAAGGAGAAGATCCCCACAGAGGAAAATTCCAGGACAGGACCTGGGGTGGCTGGTGTGCTGGCGTGGGGCAGTGGGGAGGGGTTGGTGGCGGTCAGGCCTCTGACAGGCTGCTGAGTTCTGCATGGAAGGGCATGAGGATGCCCCTCGCCCTCTCCTTCCCTCACATTCTAGAATAACAAGCAAATCCTATTAGTTCTCATGTGTCTGGAGCCAGATCCCATCTCAACCCTACCTGTGCCCCACCAGCAACTTGTGCCTGGACATTGCAGTGGCCTCCCACCTGGCTCCTACCTGGTTCCCACCTGGCCTGCTACCTGGCTCCCACGTGGCTCCCACCTGGCCTCCCACCTGGCTCCCACCTGGCCCCAGCCTCTGTCCTCCCCACACATGGCCAGAGGGGCTTGTCTAGACCTAATGCAGGCCATGCCCCTTCCATGCTTAGGGCCCCCCACCTGCCTCCCCATCACAGCCTCTCTGACCCCTACTTCTCCTCCCCCTCCCCCCTTGCTGTCTCTGCCATGATGGCATCCTTGCTCTTCCTCAGACAAGTCAGGCTCGTTCTGTCTTCAGGGCCTTTGCACTGGCTCTTCCTTCTGCTGGAGGGCCACTCCCCGAATACCCAAGGACTCACGCCCTCACCTCCTTCAGGATTTCACTGAAATGTCTCCTTCTCAGTGAGCCTTCCTGGTGGTCCTATTTAAAACTGCACCCTGCCCAGGCACACCCCATCTCCCTGTCCTGGTGACTGTCCCTTCTGCACTCGTCACCATCTGTCACTCTGCTGGTACACTCCATGAGTCTGTCTGTCCCCCAGCGTGTGAGCTCCTGAGAGCAGAGGGGCTCCTACAGAGGGCCCATTCACAGCCGGCACTAGGTAACTGGAAAATGGATGGAGAGGTGGCACGAGGGGGTGAGACCCAGGGTCAGAGGGACCATGGGGACAGTGGGCCTGGCCTGGGGGACAATTGTGGTGGTCCTTGGTCCAGGGCTCTCAGAGGGCTGGAGACCTCCTCAGTCTATGTGGAAATGTGCAGCTTCCAGATCCCACTTAAATCAGGTTCTTGAAGGCGCCCTGAGCAGCCCCTCTGACGTGCAGGAATACCGAGTTGAGGCTACCGTGGCTTGAGTCTAGAATCTTCCACTGACAGCTCCCAAGGCCCCAGTGGGACGCTTCCACTGATGCAGAAGTTTCTAGCCAGGGATTCATGGACCCTGGGGGTGGCCTTCCACCCAAGAACTGCCTGGCAGATGTGGGGTGTGCGTGTGTATGGAGGAGGGCAGATCTCCCTGGGGAAGCTGTTGATCATTTTCAGGGAATTTTAAATGGGCTACGACCCCCCACAAGGCTCAGATCTCCTGTCTTAAAACACCAGGTCTGGGTGCAGAAGAGGATTCAATGGGGGGTGCTTTTCAATAACAAGAAGCATTTTCTAGCTGCAATGGGGCAGAGAGAAGGTGGGAGCACCAGGAACCCCAGCCTCGATTTCCCCGTCTGCACATCAAGGTAGGTGAGTGTGAGTGGTAACTTGTCTGTGAAAGTCAGTGTCCCGCGTCTGTGCTCATGGGGCACGTGGGAACGCATGGCGGCATTTTTGGTTGTACAATGACATACTGCGTCGGGGACCAAGGAGGCGAAGCTTTTTGTAGCGTGAGGGACAAGCCGTAACCACAAAGACTGGTCCTGTCCAGAAGGAGTCCGGAGAAAACCCTTGCACCCCTGCGGCTGTCCAGGCAGCTTCTGTCCAGTGCTGGCCAGAGCCAAGCCTGCCGAGGGGCTGTCCCCTTCGTTGCTTGGAGCTGTGGGGACCCCTGCCCCCCGTGTAACTTGGCCGCACACCCTGAAGCAGCGCTGGCCGACGGAGCTTGTTCTCTCTGAGCCCAGCGGTGCCCTATGTCTGTGCTGTCCAGCACAGTAGCCATGCGTGACGGTTGAGTATTTAAAGTGTAGCAACTGTGACCAAGACACTGAAGGCTTTATTTAATCAATTCACTTTTAAACCTATGTAGACACACGGGACTGGTGGTACCACCCTGGACAGTGCAGCCTGGGGCATGCTGGGACAGGCCAGGGAGCATACCAACTCCAGCTGGAGCCTGCAGCCTGGGGACACCCCCAGACTCCCTCAACATTGTTCCTGCGTGAGCGCACCTCGGGAGGGAAACTCAGCTGATGGGCGTGCCACCCTGGAAGCCCCCTCGGGGGGCTGGGGAATCCTATCCTCATGGGTAGATGGGGGAATGGAGGCCCAGAGAGGGAAAGCAACTTGCTCAGAGCCACACAGCAGAGGTGGGGATAAGAGCTGGACTGCTGGACTCACCCGGGGCTCTGGCCATCCCCCAGTAACTGGGAAGCTGGCCCAGCCCTGGGGCGTTGTTAGAGGGCCTGGCCAAGGCGGCCACCCTCACCCTGTCGTATGTCAGTTGATAAAGCATCTCCCCACTGTCTCCATTTGACCCCCACAGTGGCCCCAGGGGGGCTCTACGCCTGTCTGAGAGTAAGGAGGTGGGAGGTGAGAGCCCAGACTCTGGGATCTCCACAGCTCCCTCCTGGGTGATCTGGGGCGGTAACTAAGGACTCTGAGCCTCAGTTTCCTCACCTGTCAATGAGAACAGGAACAGCGCTGAGTCAGGGTTTCCGGGGGATTCAGGGAGGCGAGCTCAGCGCAGTGCGTTGCACATACTAGTGCAAGCTCGTAACGCCCACCAACAGCTCCTCAGAGCAACGCCGCGATTGTAATAACCCGGGGGCCTCGTCTGGGGTGGGGTGGCCGGAGCCCAGAGAGCGCCCACTGGGAGGAAGAGAATGACCAGCCAGCGACCTCGCGTGGGTCAGAGACAAGAGCAGTGGTGAGTGGGGTGTGGAGAGTCGCTGTGGGTGGCGGCAGGTTTGGGAGCTGGAGTGATTCTTGATCAGCACGGACCCTCTAGGGAACGATGAGCAGGGCGCGTCTCCTGTCTGAACCTCGGTTTCCTTCATCAGAAAGGCTGGAATGACACCACTACTTCTCGGGGTGTTTGAGGGGCAAAGCTGTCACTGCTGGAAAGGCCTGGGGCTGTGAGGCCAGGCTTGCTCCCCTCTGGGCTAGCCAGGCCCCTTCTCTGGACTGGGCATCGATAGGGTCAGAGGGAGGGGCCTTCAGGGCTAGGGGAGCCGGAGGCTGCCCTGCTTGTCCCCCAAGGTCAATGGAAGCTGGACTTTGCTCCGCCTGCCACCCCAGGCTGTAAAGATGGCTGAGGGCCGGACACTCCCGGCTTCCGTCGGGGCCTGGCCTTTCACCGCGATGATGCCGTGATTTAGTGCCGAGCGGGGCCTCTCGCCTGTTCAGCCTTATAATGAAGTGTCTCGCAGACGGAGCAGTGCGCCTCGCTGATGTCTGGGGGGGAATCGAGGCGCCATCCATCACCCTTTCCCCCAGAGGCTGGGCAGCGTTTTGCTGAACTGGCTGAATCACGGAGCAGCCTGCGTCTCCCTCCAGAAACTGTCCAAGAGCTGAACTGGCCCTTGCAGTGGAGACAGCACACTCAGAGTGGAGGGGGCCGGAGCCCGAGCCCAAGCCACCGGAGATGTGACCAGCTCTGCATGGGCCAGGAGGAGGCTGGGGGACGGCTTCCCTTGTGGGAGCAGCCACCACTGTGTGCCAACATTCTCTGGGTGTGAGCTTTACCCACGGGCAAACCTCACACCCCCGGACCATTTCACAGATGAGAAAACTGAGGGTCAGGGAGGAGAAATGGCTGCCCAGGTCTCCCCTCCACTTGGTAGCAGAACCAGCTCTGATCCCCGCGCCCGTCTATGAACCATGTGTCACTCCGAGGGGGTAGCCGCCAGGAGTGAAGGGTTCCGTCCCCACGGCGCCGGTGCCCCGTCCCCGCCTGGGTCTCTGCCGGCTCCTCTCCGTGGTGGTGACAGTAGTTGTTAAGGGTTTCCCCTCAGGTGGGCGAAAATTTCTATTTACTCTGCCATGGAGCAATTTCCCCCGGCAACTCTCTAACTAGCTAAATGCCTTGTCCTGCCTCCGCTGGCGGGGAAGACACCCACTGGGAGGAAGGCGCTTTTCTGCAGGGATGCATTGTGGTAGCACTCACAGCCTGCGCACAGCAGCATAGACGACTGTGCGCGGGGGTGGGGACACAGGCTACGGGAGGGGTCTGCCTGCTGCTGGGAGGGGCTCATGGCCCAGGGGGACAGCTTGTCTGTGAGGAGGCCAGGGGGAGGACGGTGGGTCCTGGCATGGAGACAGCTCTCGGGACAGCGGACAGTGGCCAGTGGCCAGTGGGTTATTCCTAGTGGCAGTAAAGTGGGAATGAGGGTGTGGTCAGCACACTGCTGAGCAGGTCAGCAGGGAACCCCCACAGGACCCCTACATCCACGCAGCGCCCACAACCTGGGGAGAGGGCTGGGATGGGCTGTGTCTTGGCGGGTGTTGGCCAAGCTCCTTCACTGTGAGCACACAGAGCTGTTCCTTGGGGGTCTTCACAGAGAGCGGGTGTGCAGGGGGCACAGGGCTGGTGTAAGCCAACAGGACAGCATGAGAGGAGGCGCGAGGAGCGGGCCCCCCACTCATCCTCTGCCCCCGCCAATGCTGACCACAGTGGGGCCGCTGGGGCCCTGGGCCCGGCTGGCTGGACACTGCGGGGTGGGCTCTTCCAGAGTGGAGATGATCTCAGGCAGAGGCTGCAGATCCCACTCACCCTGCAAGGATGGGGCTGGGGTAAAATGAGGCTGGGGGGTGAGATGGGGTGCCACCACCCCAGCCACATTCCCAGCAACCTTTCCCAACCTGAACTCACCCTTCTCCCCACAAGCTGCTCCTGCTGCTGGGATTCCCACCTCAGTAAGAGAGCCCAGCCTCTCAGTCACCCAGGGTGTCCTCCAGGCCGCCCCCACACCCCTGCCCACCCCTCAGTTCCATCGTCTGCCCAAACGGAGCCCTCTAGGTGCAGACTATGGCCTCAGTCCCCTCCCTGAGAAGGCTGCACAGACACCCAGGACTCAGCCCAGCAGACGTCCACCCTGCGTCAGATGCCCACCCCACGCTACCCTAAGACAACTCGGCATCAGCGCAGCCCAGGGTACCGGAAATGTTTGATTTAGCAATTAACCTGGCTCCCAAATGTTCCAGGAAAGGCCTGCCTCCCGGACCTCTGGGCTGCAGATCCTAAGTGACTAATTTGGCATAAGGTCTGGTCTCCCCAAAGGCGGCTCGGCTGGGAATAAATTAACCGCCTCTAATCCCAGTGGGCTCCTGTGTCTCGGGGTTCAGGTCTCCCCTGCCCCTCCCCTGTGCTTTATTTTTAGTCTCTGGGGGCGGCTGCCTGACGCCTTGTTCATCACCGACGTCCCGAGAGCAGCCCTAAGCTCTGGGGCTGCCGGGGAGGGTCGTCACATTGTCAGTCTTCCCCCTACAAGGCTGTCTGTCCGGCTGGCTGTCCCCACTTGACCCTTTCCCTAACTGCTTCCTCTGAGTGTTTCTTTCCAGCTCCTTGGAGGTGGGGTCCTGTCTCACGCTCTGGGGCCCCCGCAGGGCCTGTCGCACCCTGGGCACAGCGGGTGGACAGCCTGCAGGACTGGCTGACGGGCCTCAGAGGGTCTGCACCAGCTGTGCAGACCCACTTTACCAGGTGGGCGTACTTGTGGGTGAGCACACCTGGGGGAGGGAACACCTGGAAGTGGGCATAACTGAGGTGGACACATCTGGAAGTTGGCATACCTGGGGGTGGGCTCACCTGGGGGTGGTACAGCCGGGTGACATACCTGAGGGTGGGCACACTTGGATAGCACACCTGGGGGTGGGCACAACTGCAGTGGCACAACTGGGGGTGAGCACACCTAGTGGTGGGCACGCCTGGGGGTGGTACACCTGGGGGTGGTACATCCGGGTGCCATACCTGGCGTGGGCACACCTGGATGGCACACCGAGCGGTGGGCACGCCTGGGGTGGCACATCTGAGGTGGCACACCTGGGGGTGGGCACACCTTGATAGCACACCTGCGTGGCATACCTGGAAGCGGACGGCTGAGGATTTGTTGCAGTGCATGGAGATGGGGGCGAAGCCGTATAGGGCCTTGAGCATGTCCCGGTTGAAGGAATTCCAAGGGACAGAGGCGAACTGCTGCAGGACAGAGGTCTGTGGGCAGGTGCAGACATCCTCGCTGTTGAACCTGCAGGGAGAAGGGACAGCCCCATTTGGGGTGTGGCAGGTGGGAGGGGCCCAGCAGACACAGCCCGCCTCCCTGCAGATGGGTTGTGGTCCCTGAGGTGGCCTCAGGCTGTCCCCGGGCCCTCTAAGCTGTGTCTCAGCCCTGCCCCCAGGCCCTTGATGGCTAATAGGTCACTCTGTGGAGGGGTTGGTAGTGGCTGCCCGGAGGGCTGGGTTGCAGCAGCGTCTCAGGCCAGGTGCAGGTTCAGCAGGAATGTGTGCAGGCCTCGATTAGTGATGCCTGCCACAGACACCTCAGCGAGCAGTGAGGGCATGGCTGCCACATGCCTGCTGACCCTGCACAGGACTGGGACTTGGTTCCTCACTTTCCCCACCTGAACAGGGCCCGGGGGTCCTGTGTTGGGGTCCCCTGCCACCCCGAGACAGAGGGCACACTGGCACGTTCTCTGTGGTATTCACCTGTTCACGATGTGGAAGTACTTCTGCAGGAAGCCGGGGTCCACTGCGCTCTTGCAGAGCTCCAGCTGCGTCTGGGGGTAGTAGTGCACGTAGTTGACGCACATCTCCTCCAGGATCCCGAAGCCCCCCTGCAAGACAGGGGCACCGTCACCCCGCCACAGCACTCGGCACCGTCACCCTGCCACAGCACTCGGCGTGCTGCTGCCTACCAGCTCCACCATGTGTCCACTGTATGACTGTATCATTGCTTTTGCTCAGTCATGCCCAGGGCCCAGTGGGTTCCCGGCACTGTGGGTGGAGCAGCAAGCAAAGCCAGCCCTGCCTGGTGGAGCCCACTCCGTCGATAGCAGGGGTATTATTGTGCCATTTTATGGATACAGAAATTGAGTCCCAGAAAGGGCAAGGGACAAGCCCTGCATTCCCCAGGAAGTCAGCAGCAGAGCCTGGCCCCACAATCTCCTGAACGTTTTCTTGGGAGCTGTCCTCCTGTCCCCTAGCAAGACCCTCGGGGCCGAGGACTCCAAGGGGGACCTCCCTTCACACCGGGAACCCCATGTTATCCACCGGCCGTTCCGGAACTCGGTTCTGGGAAGAACAAGGGGCTCAGGAAGAGGAGCCCATAGTGAGATTACGGGTAAGAGGTTTTAGGGTGGGTGGTCCCCCAGAGCGATGCACAGGCTTTGTCAGAGGGTGGAGTGGGCCTTCTCCCAGCCGTGAACCTGAACCTTGGGAGGAAGAGGAGAAGGAGGAGGAAGAGTAGGAGCCAGGGCTGGAGCGGGCAGAGCAGTGAGCAGGCAGAGCAGTGAGCGGGCAGAGCAGTGACTGGGCAGAGCAGCGAGCGGGCAGCTCCGTCCCTGGCAGGGCAGGGTGAGGGGGCCTGACCCCAGACTCCCCTTGGCTTGCTCTCGGACCCCAGTTGTTTTAAAACTTCCATGTGTGTCCTGGGGGGTTTATTTGGCTGGTGGGAGTGTTTGAGTGAAGAAGGGTGTTTGCTACATTATGGCAGAACAAAGGTGCTGTGAGAAGCTCAGCTTCCTGTTCACCTCCCGTCTCCCTGCAGCGCAGGCAAAGAGCTTGGGCTGGTTCTGCTCCAGAGATCAAGCACTGGGCTTGTGTGTCTCTTTCAAAGGGGGACGCACTGTGACCGGCTCTGTCTGGCTCTGGAGGCACTTAGTGGATGCTTTAGTATGCCTTGTTCTCTGTTCAAGATGCCTCGAGTTTCCTAAGGCCCCTGGGCGGGGGACCTCGGCTTTTATTGTCGTGCTGGCTTCCCTCTGTGAATGCATGGTCACTGCCAGCTGGTCTTCGGCTCAGACATCAAAAGGGAGCTCGATTCCCTGACCCGGCAGCCTGCCTCACAACCAGGAAGCTCCGGCCCTTTTGTCTCTCGCCTTGAGGAGGGAAGCGCATCTCAAAGTCTCAAAGGCTGCTGTGTCTTGGATCAGCAGGCTTGGTCGGCAGATCAGAGTGTGGGAAGCCGCTTGGATGACTGGCCTGTTCAGAGCTGCCTGGCCGTCTTCCCCTTTGATCTCACCTGTCACAGGTGGTCACCTCCACGGAGGGTGTGGGTCGGGAAGTCCAGAACACACGGGAGGCCTAGCCTGAAGGCTGGGGCCTGAGGCTCAGCAGCCTCACCAGGCACAGCATCCCCAGGCAGCCTGAGAGGGAAGTCAGTTTGGCTTCAGATTGGTAGGGAGGGGGCACGACCGAGGGCAGCATCCCCGGGCTGGGGGCTGGCCTGCAGCAGCCTCCCATTCACTGTTCTCTTGCTGGACACCTGGTAAGTCCCTCCCCTCCAGGGCCCCAGTGGCTTCACCCACAGAAGGGGGTGATGTCGTGGTCCTGCCAGGCCCCCCTCACTCCCGGCTCCCACCCAGCTCACTCACTCACCCCACAGTGAGCTCTCTGCCCAGGGGAGTCGGAGTCGGGCCCTAGCCCTTTCGTTGTCCCCCTCACTGTTTCCCGAGGGCACCTGCCATCAGGTATGTCCCCAGCACCCGGCACACAGGGGCCCTCAGGCTGCAGCGAGCACCAGAATACCCTGAAGCCTTGTGGAAACCACGTTGCTGGGCGTCACCCCAACATTCCTGACTCAGCAAGTCTGGGGTGGGGCCAAGAATCTGCATTCTTGACAAGTTCCCAGGTGATGCTGGTGCCGCCAGTCCAGGGGCCACACTAGGTGTGAGGGACACCTCTGCCCCCTGAAACTGGCCCTCCATTCAAGGAGTTGAGACTCATCCTCAGAAAAGGGTTAAAGAGCCCGAGTCGCCCACGCCAGGCCCCAGGTGCTCCTGGGCAGGCGGCGGGGCTCCTGGGCAGGTGGCGGGGCTCCTGGGCAG